AGTCAAGACCTTTGCTAACACCTGGCTTCTCGCTTCCCTCAGGCTGTAAGTCAATATTCATTCCTCTAAAAAAAAAAACCTTCCTGCGTTGCTGATATATCTTTCTCTTCGCCACAGATCGTTTGTCCCTGATAATTGCTAAATCCCCCGTCAATCCTCCTAATTCCAGACTAACTTTGCACGTATTTCCTGCAATAGAAGGTACGAACTTCGAATCCCGATACTATATCCATGCGAAACCCTAACCAATTATTGCTGACACATCCTAGTTTGTATGCAACGCTCTATCCCTTCTTTTGCTACCAATTACTGAACCTTACTTGGCATTGTGTTACAGCTCGTTAGTCTATCCCTTCTTCCCTCTTCCTGCTTCTCCCACTAATGCATAACCCATCTCACAATGATTTGGGTAACATAGATAGTGAGTAATATGACTTGACTACCACTAACTCTATCCCCCCAGGGTATCCGCTAACCTTTCCCGTAGCCTGTGAGCCGTTCCCGTTTACTATCCCCACCCCCTGCGGACCATTATTCACCTCGCGGTAGTTTTGCATCCAGGATGCATCAGATCCGCCCCCATTGTCCGACCTGGGCACGACCTCCTCGCATTCTAGCTCTACTCCGGCGTCCAGTGAGTCTCATGTCCCACTTTTCTTGGAGGGGTTCTTTTTTTCAAACGAATACTTAGATCTTCTACTAATCGTCCAGCAGACTAAGGATCTAGAATGAGTTATTGTTTGAAGGCCTATCGCTCCTTCGATACGTTTACCGGTTAGCTGCCCCGCCGCCGCCTTTTTGCACCCCCGATGCTGCGAGCTGTTGCTGAGACCCGTTTTCGTAAATTCCATGATGTTAGTATTGGGGTGTAGGGGTTTGTGAGAGTCGGCTGTTGGCTCTTTGCGGTGTTTCTGTCTTATCGTGTTGATCTATCTATTACTATCTCTATCTATGCACTATATCGTGATTTTCAAAATGAGACATCTGATGATCTGAGAACCCACCCAATTGTCTATATTTCCCCTGCCCTAGTGCTCCATGTCGAACAAGGAACCCAGGGAAAGGGCAAAAACATGAGGTAAAAAACGGCATCCCCAGATATCTCTAACCCGATTGAAAATTCAAAACAGAGCTTCTGGCCACCACCCCGATGCTCCGGAGGCAAACCTTCCGATGAGTCGGGCCTTCGTTGGATTTGCCCAGGCTTTTTGTTGGGCTAGGCTAGGCTCGGCCTTGAGCTTCCTTGGGCTGGGTCGGGCCGGGAAGGCATAAACCTGGGTTGCCCGGCTAACCCGACCAATTTATTACCCCTTTTTTTTTTTTTTTTTTCACTTTTCGGTGATATTTTCGACTTCGTATTACTATACCATGGAAATTACCTTCTGAGCGCTCAGAATTCTGGAATCTTTGCCATTAGTAGAAAGGTGAACGGTGAAGCCTGTCTAAATCAAGTGGCGAAAAATTACACCACCCACGACGGTATGAGTGTCCCTAGATTATCGCCCAGGTTTAAGGTTTGAACAGTCTAATATAATCTAATTGCTCCCTTAGAACAATTGTTCCTTTTCCCAAATCCGATACCTGCTGGAGTTTCAAATCGTTTATGTATTAATCGCTTTCGAGCCGGTGGTTGGAGGATCGCCGACAAAAAGAATACCCGATACTTCGAACATGGGCCATGCTCTGTTATCCATTCCGATAATGTCTTCCGTACAGAGCGTGTATTCTCCGGAACCAAGATGACAATTCCCGACTCATGTCGCTCTCTCAATCCACCGACAATCGAGCCAACTCACTGCCCGCGAAGTTGCCACTCCTCCTTGTTGAGCATCAGCCATTACGTCGAAGAAAATTACCATTTGCCTCTGCATCATATCCTTTTACTCGTCACTTCGGCCACCCTCTATTCCCACCATTAATCCTGTATTGTATCCACTTAATATTAATGTTATATGCATATATATTTATCCTTTTAGTACTCTCCTTTTGTGGATAAGCCCAATGTGTTTGTTCGGTTAGGTCAGGCTGAATATTCGTTGGGCTTGGGCCGGGTCTACTCAGCCTTTTTTCAGCCCGGGCTAACTCAATAAAAGGAGGTAGCATAGGACCTGGCACGGGGGCTTCCATAAGCCACGGATGAGACTCGACAGTGTCTAGCAGTCCGCTTATAGAAGTGATATCTCAACTTAGGAGTCTTTAGCTCGGACAGCTGGCTAGTAGGTATTGACAAGGGACAGAACTGGATGATTGAGGACAGGGGCGGCGGCGGGACGGTATGGTATGGGCGATGCTTCATATTGCAGACCCTTGACCTTTTTTTTCTGCACCTTTATTATGTATAATATACTTATTATGGGACACTAGTTTAAAGTACATATAAAAAAGTGGGGCAAAGTGGAGATTTTTTCTGCTATGATACAAAGTTTGAAAATTTCTTTTGTCCCAATCTCTCTCTCCCGCTAGTACAGTGCCCCAAATAATTTTACCTAAAAAAGCCTGTCAGTAATTCATGCCCGCCCCAACTGCCCTGGGTAGTACAGTATATCCCTGTGTCAAGCAGCAAAATTTAATCCCCCTTCAAGGTCACAGTAACACATCATAGTAATAGTCTGCGATTCTCGCGGTAGTGGAGACATTAGACCTGGACTCCAGTCAAGATAGTCGGTTCTTTTGGCGAGGCCTCCCCGTAGCTTGTCGCTGACACTACGAGGAAGCCCGTATCTCAAAGGCATAGTTGCTAGTGTTTAAGGTTCCTATAATCTTCCGCATAAACCCATCCGAGCGGCCACCCATCATCAATACCTTAAACCAGTGACCCCAAGCCTCCCCCGCCCATTATATACACGAAGAGGTCCAAGTCCAGGGTGCCCCGGGTATGGGGTCTCAACCCGTGGTGCAAGCGAGCTCGTCCCTCCGAATTCCGATTGGGGGGGGCGACGACCTGCCCCCGCGGTCCTTTAACCACGAGTAACTCCGCCAATAATTTGCAGGCCCTACAGTCACCGGCCGTTACTTATAGGAAATTGATTAATCCAGCAATTTAGAGACCGACAGGATCTACCCGCCTACCTCGACCACTTGCCAGGCGTAGCTGTCTGTCCGTCCCTCAGGCCCGAAGTCGGGCGGACTAAACACTTGGGTTCCCTACTATTAGGTCTCGAACCTGTGCACCTTAGAGGAAAAAATGGTTAAACGTTTGCTAGGTTGACCACCAAGGAGTAGGGATTGTGAGAAAGTGGGGGAGCAAAGGATCATACTTACCCCGTCTCTCTAAAACATTTTCGAACCTCACGTTCTCAAAAAAAACGTGGCCCGGCCGCCTACCATAGATGCCAATCTACAGTTACAAAAGGTTTACCAATCTGCAACAATATATCCCGCTGAGCCCCCCCACCGTCTCGGGAGCAAATGTGTAGGAGTCGACCCAAGTAAGCCAAATGAAAACGGGATCCGGATTCCCCGGCTTTTTACCACACACTGAAACTGGCTAGAATCAGCGTAGATATTCATCCCCCGGCAATAGACGTCGGTTGAGCGGGGAGCGCTGAAAGTCCAAGTATCAAACGGGAATATGACAAGTGAGAACTGAGAGATAGTGCTGATGAGCAAAGGACAGTTCCCGGAGCATGGCCGGAGAACATGTTGAAGGGAGGAAAAACTCCGGAGCCATATAGTGGTGGGTGGTACCAGAGATATTGAGAGCAATGGTAGCAGATTTTAGGTACGGATGAGGGTGGGGAAAGAGTTCGGTTAAGTTGGGGGGGATGAATGCAGCAAGTAGGTGTCTCAAAGCAAACAAAGCAAACAGAAAAACTTGTGGCTATAATTCCCCGCAAGGCATCAATATTTCACGATACACTATCCTGCCATATATTTGAAAACTGCCACCTCCCCTTGTCACCTCTGCCATGACCATGCTAGCTACTATTCGGTGAGAAGACCAGTTTCTTGAGGATTCCATGATATCCCCTCTCTTCCCCTCCTTCACTCGTCACTGTTTCATTCCACTCCAATCCTACATAGCTTGCTACAGGGACCGACAACACAAGAACACCGACGTTCCAACAAACATCAATCTGAGAACCGACCCCTCAGACCCGAAAAGTTAATCAGCCACCAATATCTTCATGGCGCGGCGCACCGCGTTTCGTATAGCGCTTCCCCGCGACCTGATGCTGAGTCGCAACTGCCAACAATTGTCAAAAAAGAGTCCCTATGAACCTCAGAGCACTCAGCGCGAGCTGGGCCTCAGGCTCGAGCAAGTCCAGCATATACAATCAAAAACCCCAAACACCCTACGTCCACTCGGCGCTGTTTTCATAACGTCACAAATAATCACTCGCAACATTCAGCCACCGGGATCCCTTATTAATCCGCTCAACCAAAGATCAAGCCCCTATACCATTGTATTCTCCCCATTTCAGTTAGTTATTTTGAGCCATTCCCTGCACCATACCTGCCCACCTGTACTCACCACACCATCCTGGTAGGACCGACACCAGTCTCCTGCAAACTTTCGATACCCAAGCGGAAGGCCACCAAACCCAACCCCTCGCCCCCCAGAAGCACGTAGAAGATTGAAAACACAAAGCCCAGAATCCATTACTAGATCTAGGAGCTTGCACTTTCCTAGGTATAAGAAGCGCCAGAGAATACGTGTGCCGTAGACCTAGAGCATGTTACCGTATGATATTATAACGTTAACGTGTGGTTTCCCTGCTTCCTGCAGCAAGGGCTAGAGATGTAGCTATGGACAGCTTCTAGGGGCTTATGATGTCATGCCAGTTGTAGCGTTAGCAGCGGTAATATCACCTGCGGGGGGAGGAGGATGGCACGGCAGGAGGTACAGGCAAAACGGTGATATATACCCCTACGACACACCAGAAACCCCCGGGGTGCGCATAATCCAAGTCAAAGTCGCAGTTGTCATTCACACAATATCACTCGGCCACATTCAAGTGCTGCACACCAAGAGGCGCAAGCAGTAAGGTATGACAATACAGCCTTGTACTCCTATTCCTTCTCCCCAAACAAACTTAGCTATCCAACGTACATATAGTGTCCATCTCTTTTTAAAGGGATTAGCCAGGAAGAGAAAAGAGAACCCTGCACAGTGACCAGTTAAGCTATGAGTAAAAGGCGGAGAAAAATGGAGAGAATTTCAAATGCAAAAACAACACGACCAATGGGTACAAACAAACATGAATCAAATATATATTCCAGCAAAAAATTAAGATCGATATGCCCTGTAACTACCGCTAGTCCAGCGCAAGTAGAGGGTCATGGAAGTGGAGAACGAAACCGGTAAACACAGGAAAGAGGCGTTTTTTTAGAGTCAAGTCTCCTAAGTAGCAGTGGCGGAGGCGGCCGATTAATTGTCTTCGCCGTTCGTAGTAGGAATACCGACTTAACCAGAGAGTTCTAGTTCGAGGGGGTGGTGAGCTTCCCCCTGATTGGGGTCGGTGGATGTGTTCAGAGTTTTGTGAGATGCAGCCCCGGCCCCACCGTTCTTACCCCCAGTTCCGACCCCGATGGCGAAAGTGCCTCCAAAGTAGAGACTTCAGTAACTACCTGACCCTTGACCTTTCTTCTCTTGTGAGGAGCCCGAACAGACACCCTCTTGACCCGCTTGGCTCTTGGCTGAGGAGCATCTACATCGTCATCGTCACAATTGCTATCAAGCTCTGCTGTGGAACCCCGTTGATTGGCCTTCTTCTGGCCAGTGGTAGAGGGAACATGCTCTTTCTTAACCCGTTTGGAATTTGTCATTGGCGCGGCATCTCCGTCCAAATTGGAAAGGCCAGCCCGTTTCCGGTTTCCCCGGTGAGACTCCGCCCCCACACCAGAGTCCTCTTGAATAGAGACACTCTGCTCTGAAGATTTTAGATCATAATCTAACATAAAATCCTCGTGCTCAATCTCATCCAGGTCTGTAAGCTCACTGCCAGAATCACTGGGCTCATCAATGAGTTTACCATTCGCTAGATCGACTTTATGAGTCTTAACGGCGCGCTCAAAACTCACTCCAGTAAGACTAATCCAATTGAAGAGCAGACAATTATATGGCTGCAAGACGTCGTCACGTTTGCCAACCAGGCGCATTCCACCTTTCTTGGTAGTGGCTTTTGCCAGAGCCCGAAAATCCGCAAGAAGGTCGGTGCATACCGCTGCATTCTCGGCCGAAAAAAAGTCAACAGCGACTTTTATGCAAGATTGCTTATTCCGCACCTGGTGGGGGCAACCAGCTGGGACGAAGACAGCATCTCCAGTGGACTGATAGATACGGTATGAGCGAACATTGTACTCGGGTTTCCCAAGCTCAATTAAGTCCTCCTCGGTCAAGTAAAAAAGGGGGCGATTTAGGGGATCATCCACAGACGCATCCCGCTTCTTGAGAAATCTACGGATGGCCGCAGAGCTTTCTGGAGGAAATATATCCCAAATAGCCCCACACTTCGGATATCCGTAAACTTCCTTCCATCGCTTATTAGCAGCAGGAGTAGGTCCGCCGCTTTGATGAACCAGGATGTTCACTGCATCAGTCATGTCAAAATGTAAATTCGTAGTGCCTTTAACGGGATTTGGTGGACCGTTCTTGACAGGAATAAAATCTGGGGCCGGGTAGGCATTGTACATCTTTGGGCCAAGGTCTGGCTTCGTCCAGTCAGCCGGTAACCTCGAAACCAGATTTAAGCTCGCATCTCGATTGGTATATTCTGGGAATGGCAGAGCCCGCTCAAAGTCGGCAAATAGATTGGGGAACTCGTCCTTAAAGTCAGACTCCGGCGGCCAGTCCTACGTAATATTAGTTTCTGTAAACGCCATAATTCAAATGGAACTAAGCACACCTTTAATTTCAGACTCCTCAATGTACCTGTGTCCTCAACATCTGTTTTGGAGAAGTCTCTGAAAAAGTCGCCCACCGTCGACACCCCCACCTGACCTGTTCCACAATCGGTGATTGCACAGGGTTTACCACCGTACATCTCGATAAAGAATTCTGGGTCCCAAGGCAAGGTAAATTTCTTTTTTAAACCTTTGATCACCAGGGGAATTCCTCCCTTTTTCCAGAGAGTTTGGAATTGTACCTTCGATACAGCTTCCTCAAAGTCAGTAGGCGTGCCAAGATAAACAAGCCCCTTTTCGCCCGGATGAATCGGGGTATTGATAGGAATATCCGGTACTGGATTGTCGTCATTGGGCTTGAGACCGACCCTATCTCGGTACGCTCTAATGCTAGAGATGAAGAACTTTATCTCCCCAGGGTACGCTCGCGTAGCGAAATAAAACGAGTCCTTGTTGTGGAGTCTTTGGTTCGTACATTTATCTGGCATTGTCGGATCGCCGTCTTTGACCACTGGTGTCCATTCAGTCCAACAATCTAAACAAATCTCCCTACCACAACAGCCAGACAAGTATGTTCCAAACAAGGTCGTCGTCGAACAAATATCACAAATGGTTCTGAGTGTTATCTTCTTCAGACGGACCAACGGCCTAGGACCACCATCCAGGTTGGTCTTCTTCAAAATCCCGCTGTGAAATTCCTCGTGATAAAGTTCAGAACTAAGCTTCGCCAGCAAATTCACCCCAATCAACGGCAGAATTGTTTCGGCATCCGCAGAATTAAAAACCATTTCTCTCTGCTGATCCTCTGCTTGGGACAACTGTTCCAAGGACATTTGATCGTCGGCAACACAGAACTCTGCGTCGGTGGGATCCGACTCCGCACTCCCATAATAGTCGTACTTGAACTTACGGATCCCACTGAAACGACAGCCACCAGTTTTGACGCTCTTGGAGATGCAAGCTTCACAATGTTCCGGTAACTTTTTGTTGCGTTGGCATGGCCCTTTCTGAACATACTTAAATTCTGGTGAAGGTCCAAGGGCCACATAACCACATGGGAGGTCGTCCTTTAAGGGGAAAGCCCTCCCCTTTCTTTTTCCGGGCACCGGTGTTGAAGGTTTGCCATTACCCTTGGTTCTGGAGCGATTGTGAGCATGAGCCAATAAAAGTATGCTACACCATACAGAAGAGTCACAACATACATAGAATTCCTCATGCGTTTTGGCGTAGGCTTCTCCTTCGGTCTTTTCACAGATTCAAACTCTTCATCACCAGAGCAATCTCTGCCGCAAGAATCAGCATCAACAACCCCTCGAGGTGGAATAAAGAGAGAAAGACTCTCCAACTTACACAGGAACCCTCTTCTTGCCAGTGGCAGCCTTGTTAATACGAGAACTTGAGGTGCCCGAAGCGACATAATCGCTGTCAATGCTCATCTGGCTGGATTCACTGCTATCGCTGTCAACCTTGTAACTATCCCAATAATTAGCATCGATTGGCCCGAGTAAAATAATAGAGTTACAAGGATTTGCAAACACACTTGACCAAAGGTAAACTTGTGCTTCGGGTTTGACGGCTTCTACCCGTTGCGACTTGATCACTCGAAGTTCCCCTACCATAAATATCAGTATCAACATCCTAGTAAAAATAAAAAATATCAAACATATCAAACATAATATTTTAACATACTGAAGGGCATAGTCGGCGGATGGATTCGAGGACCCTGGATCGGCAAACCCACCGCCACTGATCACCTCATGGTTCTCGTTATCACCTCCCGAACTATCCAAATTATTAGTCTTAATAGACTGAGCGGAGAGCCTCAACAAGTGCCAACATACTCAGAAAGGTTACTGGTCTTCTTCCTCTCGATATCCGTCCGCAACGCGACCCGCTCGCGTGAGGATGCGTTTCTATCACGATTATCAATACCAACAGTAATAGAGGGTAGAATTGTAAGGATAGTAATGGGGACGTTATGAACTTACCCAGTGCCTCTGGACGAGCTTGTCGGCGCGACCGTCGCCACACGTGGTTTCGCTTTTTTCCGTCGAGCCATGGTGAACCGCAGATGCAAAACAAGTAATGTTGAGTGGACGAAGAAAATAGGAGCAACCCACAAGCGTGCCCTCAGTGCTTACTGCGCTTCGAATTGTTAGACGTGGTAGTAGTAGTAGGAAGTGGGAGGTCTGCTGGTGGTGGTAAGAGTTTAAAAGGGAAAGAATGAGACAGCTGGGGAGGGAGACGTGACGTTGATTTAAAAGACTAACGCCCACGTGACATTCTTGCACGGTACCAACGCGAACTAAGGTTAACTTATATCACACTCCAGCGATTCCTCCGCAAATATATTATTAAATTGAACCTTTTCAATAACATGCTCTTGGCGAAAAAAACTTCCGAATACCATTGGCCGAGTAATGTATTATACTATCAAAAACGTAGAAACTTTTGCACAGAATCACCTTAGTCTGACCTCACTTAAAATTGGTATGTTTTTGGTGATTTGTTGGGCCAAGAATTGCAAGAAAATTGATAGAGAAATTTTAGAAAAACACGCAATATTTTACTTTTGTATTGTGTGAGAAATGATAGGACAAGGGGAACCGTACGCTTAAGTAAATACTTTGTTAAATACTGCAACATGAAGACTTATGATAGTCAGCCGCTCAACTCAAGTGTTTGTGATCAAAGACATGTTTAATCACCATCGAGGATAGCCGGTTTTCCATGTTAACTAACAACTGATCAACAGTGGTCAAGAATGCAAGTATAAAAAAAAGTATAAAAGAGCCATGTTAAGACATTTTATTCAACACCTGGCTTTACTCCAATTTCACAAAAGGATACTTTCAAACAGATATTTCCCAATACTATCCTTTTAAAAATACTTTAAATATTTCCATTAGTAATATAATTACTATACCAATTATACATTTAATTCTCTAAAAGTAGAAATTACAACAAATTCAGACAGTATTAACTATCTACTAGTATAATAGAGTCTACAAGTATAAAAGTAACTTAAATTTTTATTTAGAAAGTTATGTGTCTAATAGTACACTGTAATCAATACCTTATACTAAGATGAGATCTCTATTCTTTTTTATAATATTAAAATATTCTGATATCTTCTAAGTTATCAACAGCCTTATTAATACACTTCCAAATTCTAGTATAGTCTATTAGGTATTACACTATAAGAAATAGTAGTTACAATAAATATCTTTTAGGCCCTGTTTGGCATGTACCAATAAAAATATATCACAATAAAAGTTGAAAATGGCATATATGCTAATAAAAAAATTCAGTGTTGAAAAAATATATGGATGTTTGGCAACAATTTACAACTATAGGGAGTCCTAAAAAAGTTGTCATAAAATAAAATTAGGGTAAATGCAAACAAAAAAAATTTGAAAGTTTACTTCCTAGATGTTCTAGTCAATAATACTATACATTAAATCATATATCCAACTATATATCAAACCACATCTCTCATTCGACTTCAATTCATTTACCTTTTTATCCTGCTGCTAGCAGCTCTCCATTGTATTAATTTAGCCCTTTTTCAGTAGTAAGTCATTTATTTCCATGCCATTATTCTGCAATACTTGACTTTGTATCAGCTAACAGATGATCTTAGGAGAAATAGACTGTACAAAAATGGGAAACAGTGTCTGGATTGAAAATAGTGAAAGGTTCTTGGTTGATGTACTTCTGAGATATGTTGACAATAGTACATATAGAAAAAATAGATTTAAGGAGTCTCTTTGGCTCAGTGTTGTTCCAGAACTTAATGGAACCTATAAGGATGTTAGTACTAAACCTTTCACAGTTGCTCAAGCTAAAAGAAAGAAAGTTATAGTAAATAAATATCACTTCCACTCAGTGTGTTGAATTTTATTATAGAGAATATATAAGCTCATAACAATATATAACATAAGAAGGAGTTTGATTTTGTTCATGTAATCTACCAAAATTCTGGTTTTAAATAGGATGATGCCAGAGGTTTGTCAACTGCTTCAGCTGAAGTGTGAAGAGTTTATCTTGATATAAGTTCTTCTCTTTATATTTGCATACTAGTCTTATAAACTAATTGTACTGAATTATTTAACAGTGTCACAAAGAGGCTACAAAGTACAGACATAAAGACTTTTCTTTCTATGACTAGCTAGCTAGCTTGTTTCTTGGAGTCAGAGCCACTGGCATGTTTGCTCATACAATCAGATTCAGAGTCTGAGCAGCTCTCATCTGAATCAAAAATAATGATATCATGGCTACTCTGAGCCTGAATATTTTGCAATTAGTACTCGTTGATAATCAAAAGTGACTGATAATTGAATGATGCTGATAGGAAAGCTGTATAAACTATCAGCTCTTTACTACAAATAATGTAATATTACTTTTCATATTATTTATCATAACATGTATCATATTTCATGATTCAGACCTAGCCCTACAGGAAACATATACAATAAAAATTTATACAGTCAATAAAAAGATATCATGGTTTAATGTCACTTACCAAACACACCCCTATATAAAAACTTTAATATGCCAAAATTTATGCTATAACAGTGACATGCCAAACAGGGCCTTATATATAAAAGATATTAATTAAAAAGTTTTGATATTCATAGTAAAAATTGTAACAGAAACAGAAAAAAAATTAAAAATTCTAAACTATACTGAGAAAAGAAGTGCTAATAATTGATTTAAGATTTTAGAATTGCATTGTCCAGTTATTATAATCAACTTTGAGAGTAGACATTTTAGCCATATTACTTAAGTATTTCATAAATATTTTTGACATATTGCCATATTATATATTTTTGAACAAGAATAATATTATAATAATGCCCTACTTCTTTCAACAAAACCTGTATTTAAAAGTTTTTTTTTTTTTAAATAAAAGATTGTACTATTATAATACCTTCATATTTAGCTTTAAATATTTTTATTCAAGTAAAATATAGTAAGTATGATACTTAAAGAGATATTAAGTGAATAATATTTTATCATATATCATAAATTACAAATTAAATTAAATTAGTGATAGTTCAAGAACAATTCTGTAACTTGTTCACAAGGTGCTAGTCATATTATCGGTAAATGGTACGATAGTTGGCAGGTGGCCTGCTCTACCAGAGAGGAGAAGAGAGCTGAGAACTAAAGGAGATTTCGAAGATGTACTGAGGAACAAAGAAGTAACCGTTCAACCAAGTGTATTGAAATACTGTCTGTTGAAATCTGCCTTTTCCATCGTGGAATCAGGTAGTCTTTAAATACACAAATCTCTTTATATCTAGCATGAACGAAACTGTTCAAAGGTATTAAGCGATACTCTTTGGTAAAACAAACCAAGTATCAAAGCGATACTTAAAACAAAACATAAAACAAAACTAAGTATTAAATGATACTTAAAACAAACTAAGTATTAAAGCAATACTTAAAACAAAACATAAAACAAAACTAAGTATTAAATGATACTTAAAACAAACTAAGTATTAAAGCAATACTTAAAACAAAACATAAAACAAAACTAAGTATCAAACGATACTTAAAATAAACCAAGTATCAAAGTGATACTTAAAACAAAACATAAAACAAAACGAAGTATCAAAGTGATACTTAAAACAAAACATAAAATAAAACTAATAACTGAGTACCGGTTACAGATTCAGCTACAGTGTACTGATTCTCTTTTAAAAACCTAATATACTAGGCTTTGTATTAGGCAGAGACAATCTGATAGACTTCAGAATTGTATAGGCCAATCGAGATTCGTTTCTGTAGACTGTGATTGTCTAGGAAAGCTCGAGTTCACTCGTTTCCTTTATGACTACTCAGAGTGAAGTAAATTTGGTAAAGTAAGATAGAATTGTAAAACAATATTACATTATTAAGGTCTCTTCTCCATTGCTCGATAATGTCTAAAGCTTGGAAGATACTTCGATATTTATATTCTGCATCTGAGTATTCACAGACTATATCTATTTTTCATACAACTATGTACCTTTCTGATTATAACTGACAATATTGGGTATTCTTGAAAGGTGAAAATACTTAGAGACCCTGAAAATCACCACACCCTTCTTGGCAATTACAATATAACTAACTGAGAACCTTACTATTCCTGTAACCGGTACAGGTACTCGGTTACTTGTTATGTTTTATGTTTTGTTTTAAGTATCACTTTGATACTTGGTTTGTTTTAAGCATCGTTTGATACTTAGTTTTGTTTTATGTTTTGTTTTAGTATCATTTTGATAATTGGTTTGTTTTACCAAAGAGTATCGCTTGATACCTTTGATTAGTTTCATTCATGCTGGACCTGAACAGATTTGTATATTTAAAAGACTGCCTGATTCCTTGATGGAAAAGGCAAACTTTGACAGACAGTATTTCAATATACTTGGTTGAATGGTTACTTCTTTGTTTCTCAGTAAACCTTTAAAATCTCCTTTAGTTCTCAGCTCTCACCTCCTCTCTAGTAGAGCAGGCCACCTGCCAACTATCATACCATTTACCGATAATGTAATTAGCACCTTGTGAACACGATACATTTCCCAATAGTAGTTATCCGATCCTTAGAGTCATTAGACTTGTGGCCTAGTTCTCAAGTTGAACTGAGCTGGCTCCAATTATCTCCGTCATTAATACAATGATCAGTTTTATCTGTGGGTTGCATCTGTGATGATAGTCGTAATCATAACCTTTTTCAGGTCATCTGACTTTAAACTTCCATAACTCCTTACACAATTGATAGATGTCTTCTGGAGAACTTCCTACTAATTTACAGAAAGCTATTCTACTAGATTGACAAATATTACCTCAGTCGGCAATCCTTGATTGCTCTGGGTAACAGGGTTTCAATCACAATTTTAGTATTAGAAGTTATCCTTGTAGCTACAACATGTTCTGAAACCTAGTTGCAACACTCCATGAAATCCAATGGCTTCTATCATAGTGTTCCTCAGAATTCTAGACTCTTGCAGATATTGTAGGGTTGATGTGAATGTATTGGTCTCTGGCTGAGATCCTTTAATATTTAATACCATCTCTTTGTGAGAAAACATCCCGTTACTTATGGCCCATACCAAAGATATCACATCTTTGAAACCTAGTAACTTTCTGGGTAGTTGACAGATTTACTCCATTCTACTTCTCAGACCTAGCTA